ACCCCCCGGAACAGCCCCGCTCGCCACGCCAGCCAAGCCATGCCGCGCCTCTTCTAAAGCGGGGCTCCCTGGGCGCATGCGCAACGACGCGCCCGCCGCAGAGCACGCTGGGAAGTGGAGTCTTTGCAAGGCTCCTTTTTATTTTGTTTTTTGCGGGGTTGGCCGAATCCTTCGGTATTGTATTGGAAAAACGATGATCTCGTCTTGTTTCTTGCTTTGCCAGCCGGAGTGTGATATAGAAACCTCTGTCAATACTAGGAACCTATTATTAGCATGAGTGCAAAAAATTTATCATCACATCTTGCCTTATTTTATATATTTTGCAAATTTGTGGAAACTTTGCAACAATGGTGCAATTTCCTCTTCCGCACAGGGCGCTTCTTCATGGCTTTCTGGCCCTTGGGTTCCACAATGATTGGTGTATTTTAAAAACAGCAATAAATTCCAAACAAATTCCCTTTTCCCCCCCTTAGCTTTCATATATTTCTTAATTACCTTCCTTCTGAAAAGAGACGGGAGGGTAGATGATAAAATTGCCCAGGGCAGCTGTACTGTTCATTGGGATCTAGAAGAGGAAATTTCAGCAGGAAATTCACTATCAAAGGCACAAGAGCTTCAAACATTAAGAAGGACTTTCCGATATCAACAGGCTTTCCTGTACGGGAGATTTTTCAAACCAAGTTACTGTGCACATCTGTTTAGATACCAGGGCTGTTTTGAAGGAGAAAGGCAAGATAAAAAGATTAAATAAATAAAGAGGCAACAAGAATGTGCATTGGGCATGAATGAACTATCAAGACCGGTTAGGTTTATAAAAGACCCGCCTCCCCCTAAAGATAATAATAGCAAGAACTGGTTTGGGCAAGGGGCCAATCCAGCTGGATGACTGACCCATGATTCTAACATCTGATTCCTTAACCGAGCCTGGGGTCAGGCTGGATGACCTTGAAAATCCCTCTAAATTCTGACATTTTATTATTATTTTATGGAAAGAGTATATTTGTGAATCAGTATGTCTGTGTTTAAACACCAACCCTAATGGGAACATAACGAGCTACAGCATTGGTGGATTGAGAGGTCTTTGTTTTTACGAATTTTCGGCGTTGCCGCTTTCTGCTTCATAATCCCGGGTTCAAGGAAAGGAACTTGAATCCAGAGCCTAGGAGGCCATAACTGGGATTTGGCCTTATTTTGTGTGTGTGTGTGTTGTCTTGTGCGGTTTTATGGGGAAAACAACACGCCAACCGTCATGGATTATTAAAGAGAATTTAATCACGACGCAACCTGATCCGGCGACGGCTGATTTTTTAAAACCTTGTTTCCATTGGCGAAAAGAAAGAGGCGAGTGCGACACAGGGTGTTGTGTTACTCTGGACACACAGAGAGGAAACAATGCTTTGGGGTTTGATCTCAGAAGGAAGACCAAGCAGCTTCTAAAGATGATGGTTTTGCCCTCTTCACAAAGGCAGCTTTCGAAGCCAAGCTAAAACCTGCCTTTGGTTGCAGAAGGAATTGGCCGGCTTCTAAGTAAACACAGAGTTCCTCGACAGCCCGAAGAAACTGGCCTGCTTCACCAGGCTTTGGAGAGGTGGCCACTCAAGGGCCCAATGGCATGAAAAACTACATCTCCCAGAAGCCTTTGGGAAGCACATGGTCATTCCCAGGGCAGAGAGAAAGCAAGAAAAGCGACAGGAACTTTATGCAATATACAATATATATATATATATAAGTGGTAAGCTGTGTTTTTTTGGAAATGCAAAGCCTGGATCGGGAATAAGCGGATCTGATCCTGCCCACGACCAGGACACGTGTTTTCCAAGAGCTGCGTGGAGGTCGTGCGGGTGGTGAAGAATTAAAACTGGTGGGAGCCAAACTTTTTATTATTTTTTAAAAGAAGTTTCTGTTGATTTCTAAAGGAGCAAAGTTTGGAGGGGGAGAGATTTGGTCCGTTGAAGGCGACGATCCTTGTTTACTCGGGAGCAAGCCCGACAGGGAGCCATTGTTTGCTTTGCTGTGTTAAAAAAAAACCTAACTCAATTTAAAGTAAATATTAGGAAACCAATAGGAAATGTCTTGGGTTAACATGTCCTGTTTGGAGTCCTTTTAAGGAGAAAGGCGGGGTTGAAAATATTGTAAAGAAAATAAATAAATATAGGTAGGATGCAAAATTGGTTTGGGTGTTTATCTTAAGTTTAGAAAGTTTGTTTGGGGGGGGGGCGTTTGAAAGCTGTCCAGAAACCCAAATAAAATCTGGAAAGACCGGGATAGCAAATCAAAAGGGCCAAGCTGAATTTTTTTACCACCTTAATTCACAAACAAACAAATGAGAAAGTGAAGAAATAAGAATAAAGAAGAAAGCAAAAGGAGATAAAGGGAAAATGTGGAAGCGAGGAGATTTTAAGGTGTTTATTTCCCAGATAAATCCAGCAAATCCCCTCGTTTTTAAAGGGGTACGTGGAGGATTAAGGAGAGCTAAAAGGTGCTACTCTGATGCACTTTTGTGCCTGGATTTACTCCTGATTAAATAGGTATGGGATCGCCCTTTAAAAAAAGCATACTGTACTGAGAATTTGCATTATTGCAATGTGTATAATGTGGATTTTTTTTCCTCCTCCACGCCTTTAAACCGGAGGGAGATGGGAGGGAGGAATTTGGAAGTCCCTAAAAATCTGTTTATTTGTTTATTTATTTGATTTATAGACTGCCTTTCTCCTGAGAAGGGGACGCAAGGCTGAAAAACAGACAAAATGAAACATTGAACACAATGAAACTGTCCGCTAATTGAAATGCCATTGAATCATTAAAAGCAAGTCAACTTTTTAAAAATCGTGTGCTTTTAGAGACTCAAAGACTCAATGACATTCCTCTTTTATTTTTTCGGAAGTAGGCAGTTGCAAAATTTCCTCCAAACCAAATTGCTAATTTTTGGTTACATGTTGTTGTTTTGATCCTTTCTTCGTCCGCTCACATGCCGCAGTGAGTGAGTCTCGGAGCAAATCCCAGTAAGAAAAATGGTAATAAAAAATTCTGCGAATTTTTTTGGGGGGGTAAAAGTTAGATTAAGTTGGCTAAAGAACCGCGGAGCCTAGTTTGAATAAAACACGACAGCCTCATTTGAGAGGCCCCCTCTAAAACCTCAGATGAGCTGAGCGGATCTCCACAGGAAAGAAAAGGGAGGGAAAGCAGTTCAAAAATCATAAAATAATAATTTTTTAAAATGTTTTAACTCTTTAATGGCGCCTTCGAAACAGGATTAATCGAACCAGGGGGGCTGGTCTCTTTCTGATCTATCGTGGGGCTCTAAAAGCTGTGTCTGGACAACATCATCATCATCATCATATCAGTGCTATGAGCAGTTGCAGATCACAGAAATCACACCATCAGAGCTACAAAAAAAAGGGCAATATTAGGAAGAGCCTTACCTACTGTGCCGATATTGAGCAGATGCTTAGGCTTTGGGTTAAAACCTCTATCTGTTGTATAATACCAGTCAAGGTTTTTATAATTTCAATGGATGGTGCCTGGTGTTTTTGAATAATAATCATAATAATTAGGGGGGGTTGGGTTCTTTAAGTAACGGAGTGGGCCATGATCCTCCCCTCCCATAGCAAAACATTGCAGCCTGGTGGACATTCGAACCCAGCTCTCCCAGCTTTGAGCCCCTTCACTTGACCTCCAGCTTTTGTTTCCTCGTGTAGGACCATTCCCGTCTCAACCCCGATGAGCGGCCATGACCGACTCGATCCCGGCCGGTGTACCTCCGGAGTCTCCCGCCGGGGAGGATCCACAAAGGCCCGAGGGTGGAGCAAAGGTTGAGATCCGGAGGGATCCTGATTCCCCAGAGCAGCTGGAGTACCCCAGTGTTTACATCTGTGCACAGCAGGACCCTGGAAGCCCCAGGTAAAAATAAAATCAAGGGAAGGACTTGGTGGGAGGGCGGGGACTCCTGTATCCGCGGGATCCGTATCCGAATGTCGTTTCTCCCCTTTCCTGTTTGCCTCCATCAGGGACACGTCGGACGGAGGGGCGGCTGAGCCCAGGCCCCCCCAAGCGGGAGCAGATCCTGGCGAGGTTCTAGAGGGGCAGAGCAACTCCGTAGGGACGGCGGGCGCTGGGCACGGTGACTCCACGGAGCCGGAGGACGGTGTGGCGGAAGTGTGGAAGGAGGATGATGGGGTCCGCCTCCGTGGCCTCTTGGACCAGCTGCCGGGTTTCCGGGGGGGCTCGCCCACCTCGGAAGACGGTCTCCTTGCGGCCTCGGATGGCGATGAAGACTCTTCTTGCAGGGGGCCGCAAGAACGGGGCCTCCTCTTCGACACTTCCCACGGTCCGGCGCTCCTGGAAGGGGCAGCCCCCTGGCCGCTGCATGTGGCCACGGGCCACGGTTTGGGGGGCGCTTCCCGGTGGCTCTTCCGGCCCACTCGCGGCCAGAAGAGTCGGGGCTTGCTTTCGGCCGAAGCCGACCGGGAAGACCTCGCCAGCCTCCTCCGCTACGAAGGGGGGGTCCCAGAGGAGACGGGCGACCAGACCCCCCTGGCCCGCTCCGATGCAGTAGCCGGCCTCCGGGAGCCGTGGGCCGCCGTCGGCGCCACGGTGGGAAATCCAGAGGCGCTCCCTGTCTCCAGCGAACCCGACCGGGAAGGGCTTTGCCGGTGGGTTGAACGGGAAGGTCTTCGGCCAGAAGCAACAGTCTCCTTGGATCTGGGCGGCGGCAGAGGAGGCGCTTCGGAGTCCGACGACGGAGCCCCAGAACCGGGATTGAGTCACAAGGAAGAGTCATTGCAGGATCCTGCGGTGAGCATCACGCCACCGATCTAATCACAGGGCGAAGGGAGACAGGGAGGCCATCCTGTCTGGCCCTTGCTCAGTGCAGGAACTCAGCATTTCTACCACCCTGCTAGATCCAATACACGGGTCTAATTTTCTTAAAAAGAGCATTTGAAGCTTCTCCCCCCCCCAATGTTGTTTTGCAAAGTGAAGCAAAGCTGTTGCTAAGCTTCCTGTTTAGGACAAAAATAATATATTTGATGCTAACGTGTTACGTCCCGTACGTTTTATGTATTTCTTCCCCTCCACCCCACTCCAAACTGTGGAGAAGCTCCACCGTGTATCAGAGACCAGCAGGCAGCTGCAGGAGCCTGTATGCATCTAGCCGGAGCGCACAACAAAATCCATCATCCACGGCCAAGCTGTGCTGTATGAGTTGCGTCTGAAAAACTGTAGCCATGAAAGTTGGACTGGCTGAAAGGTCACACAAGACAGATGGGTCCTTGTGTGTGATCAGCTTTAGACTAAAAAGCTCTTTAAATCCAGTTTTTAAAAAGATAAGTGGGTAGCAATACAGTAGGATCCCCATATCTGTGGGGAATGGGTTCCAAACCCCGCAAAGATGCTGATAATAGCAAATATTATTCATAGAATGGTAAAAGAAAAATCAGAAAAGATATTTTAGCGTGTCCCTGATGGAGCATTACCAAAACTGGTCATTAGAGGGAGCCAGAGATCATATCATGTCTTCTGTCTCCCTCTAGTGGCCAGTCCTGGAAAATACATCATGAAAATATATATTTTTTCTTTTATTTTTCAGATAAAGGATAATGAAACCATGGATACCGATTCCGCAGATACAGAGGTGCGTCTGGAAATACCACACACCCAATGCTGGGAATGGGTTGTAGATATAACTGCCTTGGTTTGATCATTCCAACTCTTTAATCCTGTTTTTCTTTCGTATTTTAACAGAGCAAATCTGGCCTGTCTTCCTTTCCGGCATTCAAGGAGGGTAAGTGGCATGAGAAATTTTTAAAAACCAAATATCCAGGAAGGTGATATTGAGTTCGCAGGCAGTAGGAACCTGGCTCTGTCTGGATGGAATCAGGTCCTATGTGCCTTGCAGATGATGAAAACACTGGATAATAGTGAACTCTATACTGTACACAGCGTGGTCTCTGTCTCCCTCTAGTGGTTGATTCTTGTGATTTCGTTGTGGAATTGCATCTTTCTATAGACTTTTTTTCCCCTTTTAGTATTGTTTGAGATTGCAGATAAGTGAAACCGCAGATACCGATCCTGGAGATACAGATTTTCTGACTGTCATCAGGAAATTTTGCGGTTCTGGCTGATTTTTTTTTGTTAAAAAAACCTCTCTCAGTTCCAGGTCCGTGCGATGCGGAGGATCTGCTGGAGGGGGTGGTCTTCGGGGCTCAGTACCTGGGGTCCACGCAGCTGGTCTCTGAGAGGAACCCCCCCACCAGCGTCCGAATGGCACAGGCGCAGGAAGCTGTGGACAGGATTAAGGTGAGGCGGGAAGCTAGCAGTGATCGTGTTTTGGGGTGCAGCCAAATAGGGCTTGGAGTGAAGCCTCAAGAGCCATGGACCTTGCAAAAAGACCTGCTTTTGGGACGTAAGAAGAAGAAAAAGGTCCACCTTGTTGCCAATGGAGCCTCCCTCTCTAGGGGCAGTCTACTTCTGAATGCCAATGGCAGGAGCCTGAAAGCAGGATCGATCCCCCCCCCATCCTTCCTGCGGATGACGTTAAAGCTTGATTCCCCCCCTCCCCCGATTCTTGATTATCACTGGATTATCATTTTAAAATTCACTCTAGCGGGACTTTTTCCTGTCCGTCTGTTTTCCCCTATAAATGTTGCATTCCAACTGCAAGGCACCGGAGGGAGAATCCCAGCCCATGACAGATGTGGACCTTTTTGTCTCCACGCAACGAATCAAGGTCCTTACGGCTGACTCCCAGGTAGGCCTCCAGCTTCCCCCCATTCCCTTTTAAAATGTTGCTATAGGTTCGTCTTCCTCATTAAACTCGTTAAAGCGGCCTCCTCTTATCGAGTGGTCCAGTTCTGTTCCGGTGCGTGGTCAACCCCCTCCTGATAATGCTACTGGGATTTTCATCATGCAGGAGGCATTTAAAGCATGTTTTTGCTCCATCCCAGGAGTTTCTGTGGCTGAGGGAAGGCTCGAACCCGTGTTTCCTGCGTTCCAACCCAGCACTGCATGTGCTCAGGAAATGTTGTCTTCCTGTTCTTGAGGCCTATGTTATTGGGATGGGAAGGAGCGGGATTCCTGCCCGTATTTTCCTCTCTCCTCCTCTTGTGCAGGAAGCCATGATGGATCATCCTCTGCAGACCATCTCTTACATCGCTGATATTGGGAACATCGTGGTGTTGATGGCCCGGCGGAAGCTGCCGCGCCGTGCCGATACGCCCGTTGAGAAGCAGCTCTACAAAATGATCTGCCACGTCTTCCGCTCTAGTGATGTGAGATGATGGGTTTGTGTGCCTTTCGGGTCAGTTTGCTCGTGTCATTTCCTCAGGGTGGGTTTCCTGTTCAAAGCCCTGGACCTCAGGCCGGTGTGCTCGCTTCCTTACTCTGCCCCCTCAAAAAATATTTTTTTAAATAAAATTTTCTTTACAAAAAAAATTTTTTTTAAGTAAAAAAAATTTAATGGAGTAGAGTAAAACTCCCTTGTGCCCTCTAGTGGCTGTGTGTGTACTCTGCCCCCTCAAAAAAATATTTTAAAATAAAATTTTCTTTACAAAAAAAAATTACAATTTTTTTAATTTAAAAAAATTTAATGGAGTAAAACTCCCTTGCGCCCTCTAGTGGCTGTGTGTGGGGGGTCCTTGGTTTTCAATGGGCCATTAAGAGCCATTCCCTTTACAAAAGACCCGCTCTTCGTTTATTGATCCAGACCACCCCGCCTGTCAGCAGGGTTGGACTTTGCTTCCTCAGGGATATCGGCAGTGGGGAAAACTGTCATTACAAAGGCCTCTGATTCGAAATCCGCCGTGGCTCCAGGGGACTGAGAACTGATGTGAGGGCGGCCATTTTGGCCGGGGCTGCGTCTCCTGATTCACCCCTTTCTCCCTCCTCTCCAGGCCCAGCTGATAGCCCAAGCGATAGGCCAGGCTTTCAGCGTGGCGTACCAGCACTTCCTGCGGGCCAGCGGCATCGACCCCAGCCAGCTCGTTTCCCGGGGCCTGAGTGCGGAAGATGACGAAGACGAGGAAAACGCCCTGGCGAAAGTAGAGGATCTCTACAATGGGGATCTGGCCCACTTCTGCAAGCAAGAGAGTTGTAAGGAAGTAAGCATGGGGCGAAGAGGGAAGGCCCTTTCCCTGCCACATTTGAGGTCACTGTGACCCAGAGGTTGTGGATACTGGGACCTGCAGTCCCAGAACATTTGGAAGTTTCGGAATCGCTAAATCCAGTCTGAACAAGGAAGCTGGGGAATTCAAAAGGCTTCCGGATGGTTTTGTGACCAGATAGGTTCTCTAAAGTTGCAGCTTGAGTACAAGTCTTGGGATTTAGTGGGTCTCCGGCCACTGATAGGGAAACTCAGGGCCTTTCAACGTGTTGGACTCCTGATCCCATTATCCCCACCAGCATAGTCCCTATGGTGGGCGTTTCCAGCGTCCAAAAATGCGAGAAGGCCCAGCCATTTTCCTTCTTGGCTCTAGAGTTGTACTCCAGAGCCCATGCTCCCCATCCAGTGCCTTGTAATGAGAGGTCTGCAATACTAATCTCTCCCAGCAGAGGGAGATAGAGAGCAGAGCCCTGTGCTCTCCATCTCCCTCTGCTGGGAGAGGTTAGTATTACACTTTAAAGAAATGTTGCTAGATTTCTCGCGCTGTCTCGTCACGTTGTCGGCTTGGTTCCTGCTTTTAGATCATCATTCCTAAACAGAAAGGGGAGATCCTGGGGGTCGTGATTGTAGAGTCCGGCTGGGGCTCAATCCTGCCCACAGTGGTCATTGCCAACCTCATGCACCGGGGGGCGGCTGAGAGATCGGGGAAGCTGAGCATCGGGGACCGGATCATGTCCATCAACGGGACCAGCCTCGTGGGTTTGCCCCTCACCACATGTCAGAGCATCATACGGGTAAGAACAAGAGCCACAATATTTAAGGAGAATAAATGTTTAGGTAGTTTTGCGTAGCTTTTTTTTAAAACTACAATTCCCAGAATTACACACCAGAATTTTCAAGATGCCAATAAGAATAGATAGCGTGGCCTCAGTCTCCCTCTACTGGTCAGTTCTGGTAAATAATCATGAAAATACATGTTTCTAGCTGCTTTTTTTCTTTTAATATGTTCAGACCATGGATAAGTGAATCAGCGGATACCGATCCTGCGGATAAGGGGGCCCGTACTGTACTTAGATTAAGGAGGGAGGGATTCACAACTAGCTTTATTGCTTCTCTGCCATTGTTTCATCATTTCCAGGATTTGAAAAACCAGACTGAGGTGACCCTCCGCGTGGTCCACTGCCCGCCGGTCACCACCGCAATCGTCCGGAGGCCGGACCCGAAATACCCGCTAGGATTCTGTGTGGAAAACGGCATTGTGAGTCATCTAGGGGGCTCGAATAAGTGAGCCAAGCGGCATCCCGAAGGAGCCAGAGGGGTGTGTGGTACAAGAGAGGATCAAAATTCCAACTATGGTTGCTGGCATTTCTCTTAACAAGGAAGAGAGGGAAATTTCTCCAAGATTTCTAATTATTCTAAGTATTGCATTAATATACAATTAGCAAATATGATATCGGTTGCGCAGCTAAAGAAGCTGGGTTCAAATTCCGACTTGACCATGGGAACTAACACGGGACGGGCGTTGACCTGGTGAAAACAAATCTCTTTTTTGAGGCATTTACTCAATTTTAACCCGTTCTTTTATTACTACTACGTTCCGTTGGATTTTAGCCGTTTTAACTAGTCTGCATTTTGATTGACCGGTTAGTAGAATTCGTGAGTGGCATCCATTCCCGTCCTTGGCAGAAGGGTGGCATAGAAGGAAAAGTAAATTAAAAATACATAAATAGAATGTGTCACTTACCGTATGGCTGACCGTATGAGTCTCTTCTTCCGGCACTATCTCTTGTTTCGTTTTTTTGCACCGTCCCAAGCCAGCCTATCGCCGCTGACTCAGGGTGGGCCCGTGAGTGAGCCTTGTCCAAAACGCCCCGGCCTCAGCCCTGCTCATTTCTTGCAAACTCAACAGTCATGGTTTTCTCGAGGGAGTCTGTCTATCTCATATTTAGTCTTCCTCTTTTCCTGCATTCTTGACTTTTCCCTCCTGTTTAAGCCGTTGCAAAACTGGCTCCGAATTTAATCTCCTGGGACATCGCTCTCTTCCCCCGCTCCCCAGATCTGCAGCCTCATGCGCGGTGGAATTGCAGAACGAGGCGGGATCCGCGTGGGCCACCGCATCATCGAGATCAACGGGCAGAGTGTGGTGGCCATGCCTCACGAGAAAATCATCCAGATCCTCACTCAAGCCGTCAGCGAGGTGAGTGGCCATGTTCCCTGAGTATTGCATTGAGAGCAGGACCCCTATATCCACATGGGTTCGGTTTCATAATCTAAAAAGGGAGTTGGAACCGATCCCCAGTGGATACACGGCTCCTGCTGTAAGACAATGTAAAAGACAATTTAATTATTTTTATTTTTTAAAATCCCTTTAAGCTTTCTAGGTGACCTGGGGGGGTTCCTTTGGCCACCTTATCAAGCTTCCGAACACCCCTGCACCCCCCAGCTTCTGATTTTTATTTTTCTAATTTATTTTATTGATTGATTTTTATTTTATTTACTTTTTCAAAGTTTTGGCAGTCCTTTGGTGGTGGTGGTTTTTTTAAACGGGCCACTAGAGGGCGCAAAGGCCTTTTTCAGATTACAAAAAAAAATCTTTTTGAAAATAATTGTTTTAAAAAACAAATCTTTTTAAAAAGAAAAATATTTTGAGATTTGCCGGCAGATCATCATACCCCTATTTGTCTTTGTGGTGATCTTTCAGGTCCATATCAAAACAATGCCCACTTCCACCTACCGGCTGCTGACGGGCCAAGAGCAGCCAGCCTTCCTGTGACCAACGCCATCGGGAGGGAGGAAGAGCGAGCCGCCACCCTGCACCTTCCCGGTCTCGGCAGAGCATCTTCCACCCCACCCTGGAGGTTGGACTGCAACCCAGTGCGGACAGAAACGTGTGTGTCTGCGTGCTTTCGAGCCCAGAGCCAGGCGCCTGGGGTGGCGGGGGAAGAGTTTGTGTGTGTGTGTGTGTTTGTATTTTAGATCATCAACGGCGCCACGTTGTGCTGTTCAGGGCCGGAACCCTGGGCTAGCGGTTTAGACCGGGCCATTAACGGAAAAGGTACAGGGAAATGTACATGTAAAAAAAATGTTTGCTGTCTGTAATAAATAAACAAACAAACCGAGGAACTTTAGACGTGGCACAGCCAGAAGGAGCAAAAAAAGTTGGTTCGATAAAAGCTTTTTTTATAATAGATTGCTGTTTTTTTAATGCCTACAAAAGAGGGCCTATTTTAATAACATCCCCCCCAAACCTATAGGGAGAGCCCTTCTGGATCATCACTTTGTTGTAAAACTAAAACTGCGTGAAATATATTGAGCTGTTGCAACTAATAAAATATTGTGTATTGTGTTTACTGCCCCAGTCGTAACAGTGGGATCCCCCTTATCCGCAGAATCAGTATCCGCTGGTGCCTTTATTCACGTTCTGAAAATATTAAAAGAGAAATCCTAGAAATAGCTTTCTGAAAATGAAGTGATCAGAAATGGCTACTAGAGGGAGCCAAGAGACCAAGCTCTGTTTAGGGTCCACTCTTAAAATAGTGTTAGCTTGTCATCCGCGTTTTTCAGCATCTGTGGGGAGGGGGACCTTTGCGGATACGTTGGTCTTACTCCTGGTTGCTTTGTTTCTGCTCCACCCCCTGCAAAACCGGCCAGGGTTGAACCTCCCCACTTTTGCTGGCCAAAGGGAACGATTAATGGGTTAAAAATAAGGGACCTATTAATCGGTTAAAAATAAGTTCTTTATTACAAAGACCCACATTATTATTATTATTGTTTTGCAACGTGGCAGACGATTCAGTCTCCTTTTCTGCTCATGTAACGTCTGCACCCACATCCTTTCAAAGGTAAAAATATGGACTGTTTTAAAAATATCTTAAAAACGGAGGCGAGGGGAAACAGCCCAACTGTACGGACGCATTTTGAAAAATACAGGCACGGTTTTAAGTACTTAATTAAAATGATACAGGTCATTGGCACAGTCTTTTACGAACACATCCATAACGCATTTAAGGGGGAATGCCGAAAACTTTTCGGAGCATAGAAAAGTTACTCAACTATGGAAGAAAATTAAAAGAAGTGGGGGGTTTTTTTGCCAAGTCTTGAGGGAAGGGTTATTCGGATTATTGGGGACCCCTGGATCCCAGAATCCGAAAGGCAATCCTGCAGAGGAGGGGCAGGATCTGTCCTCCGTCATCCCAGAGTTCAGGACCCGTCACAATAGGCTTGCACCGACAAGCTAAGTTTTCTTCACTCTGCTGTTCTCTGGCATAATCCACCACTCGCATCATCTGTGGCTGTGGATGATGGGATCTGTAGCCCGACCCAGCCGGAGGAGGAGAGGTGGGGGGTTGTTCCGGTGCCACAGGATGGTCTGATTCGGAGCATCCTTTCTGGGGTTTTACTCCGAAGGTGCTCAAAGCTCTCCCAGGAGGCTGGTCTACACTGTCCGCTCCGGCAGCTTGGATCATGCTCGTAAAGTTCGGATTAAAACCCAGAGCAGAATCAGTTCGACCCCCGACATGAACTGAAGCCAGAGTTGGCTGAAGGATGGTAAGAGAGGAAAGGGCTTAAGTTTTTTGTAAGGGGTTCAGCAAACGGTCTTCTGGGCTGAAGGCTCCTTATTCTGTGGACACGGCCACCAGAAATTTGATTTTTTTTTTTTTAACCCCCAGGGATCATGGGTTTGCTTCCAACCGTTTTTGAGTTGATGTGATAAAAATTATGGAATGGGGCAAGATGGGGAAGAGAACGCCCTCTTAGTGTTATTAAAAGGCACCAGTAACCAGAGACTTTTTTTCCCTCCGAAAGGGACGGCGCAGTCTTACATACATATATACGTCCTGAAGAAATTGGGGGGGGGAGGGTTGTGTGGTTTTTTGGGGGGAGACCATGAGGCAGTCCGCATCTACAAATCCGTGGCAGGTCCCCAATCATAGCCGTAATCCTGGTCCGACTCAGAGTCGTAAGCCCGAGCCTGGGTGAATTTCTTCCGGAGAGCCTCGTGTTCGAATTCCCTGCTGAGGGGAGGGAAAAGCGGCGTTAGAAATTAAGCAAAATGTTTTGTCGTTCTTGAACCCCGTTCATTTGTGCAAGGGGACAAACAAAGAGAAACGTTTTTGAACCCCTCGTCCCCCAAGGAGCAGAAAGGGTCCCTTAATACACCTTTAACGCCGCTCTTGCGGTGGGCCGTTGGCCTCGAGAGAAAGCTGCACCCACCCTTTCAGGCAAAAAATAAAAATATATTTTTTTTTATTTATTGTTGAAAATACTTTTTTACCCCACCTTTCTCCTTGAGAAGAATTCAACAGTGAAAGACAAGACTTAAAAGCTAAAAACAATGCGTTCTAGGGGCTAAGCATCATTCAAAGGCAAGATTTAAAGGGAAGAACAATGAGTACAAAGAGGCATCTGACATTGTTAAAAGGCGGTGTTCAAGCTAAGAAGAAGAAGGATGCGATTTTTAAAAGAAGGTAGCTGGTGACTGCAGGAAGGCTGGCCTAATGAGAAAAGTCTTTCTCTGCCTGTTTGTAATTTTAGACTCTGATTTTAACCCATAAGTAGATTTCTTCAAACTGGAACTGACCGGGAGCCTTCACACCTATGCAGAGAGCGTCTCAAAAGGCAGACTTAGATTTCTTTTCAAAATTTATTTTCTTAAAAGTGGGGGAGGTCTGGCAGTCAGCCCTTACCTGGTGCCGTATTCTTGACGCCACTGACCTTCTGGTTGTTGGTCACCCCTGTCCCGCTGCAAAAAATAATTTTAAAAAAGGCAATGTGGATCAGCAGTTAAGAGTCACGTCTCTAAAAGCACCCTTTGCAGTATTTGAGGATCACAATATTTCTTTAAAGGAGGTAGAGAAAGGAAACCAGAGTCAGAACCTCAAACGCTAAGCTGATTCGGAAGAAAAAAAGTAATGGATATTTTTCACCTTTTCTCATTTGTGTGATACAGTGGGGACCGCAGTGTCTGTCCAGGATCAGTTTCAACCCCTCCAAACCCTGTGGATGCCGGAAACTGTGGATATAGAATCCCCAAAAAGAGACGGGGCAGGGAAGCATAACCTCTGGTTCTCCCTGTTGGCCACGTCTGGTTATACTATTTGGAAACACATATTTCTAGGTTTTGTTTTCAATTTAAAAATTGTCAGCCAGTGGATACGTGAAACAGCGTATACAGTGAATCTCAGACTAGGTATTTTGCACACAAATCAGGTTTCTTCAATGGGGTGGGGAGAAATTAAAGCATGCAAAAATAAGTCCTTAAGGACAGCCAGCGTGGCAAAGTGGAGAGACTGATGGATTGGGAGACAGGAGACTAGGGTTCGAATCCCCTCTACCACGGAATCTCCCTTGCGGGGCTTGTTAAACATCTTCCTTAAACATCTCGCAGGTCTTGAAAGTTCTTTTACCTGATCAATGGGGTACGCCAGCGCAGCCGCCACCCGCGCGTTCAGGTCCAGCTCAGGGCTTCGGTCCGTGGGCTCCGAGGACCGGGAGAGGGCCGGCTCATCGTACGCCTCTTCGAGGTCATTATCCCCGTAGGGTTCGCCTTCAGCGTCTGTCTCCTCGTAGTCGCTGTTGGCCCGGCTGTCGCAGGTCAGGTAGCCCGGGCTAGTGCCCGGGGCCGGGTTCAAAAGATCCAGGGCTTCCTCCGAGGAGACCTCCACCTGGGGAGACAGGAGAGTCAGGGAGAAATCCAAAGCAGACCACAATCCAAATAAGTGGATACCGATCCCGCGGATAAGAGGGTCCGCCTTACCGGCTCTTCCGTCGTCCAGACAGGGCGCCCCTGCTGGATCCGGATGACATCCTTGAGGCTCTGGTACCAGGTGTTGGAGCCGTCGGCTAGGCTGATGGTGGCCGTGAAGAGGTGGCTCCAGAGCTTGCGCATCTTCCCGGCCTGGGCGTAGAGGCGCCGGGAGCTTTTCTTCGACTCCGGGGCCAGCCACTGCCGCATGGCCTTGACCCCCTGCCGGCTCTCCGGCTCACAGAAGATCACGATGGGGAAGTACTGGACGTAATTCAGCCGCTCGACGGCCTCCGGGGTGATGTCCAGGAGTGCATGCTTCTCCTGCGGGAACAGAGAGAGGGATGACGTGTCAATCACTCCCCCACGAGCCAATCGCGCCCTCCCAGAAGTAAGGCCCTCCTCCCTTCTGTCTCTTTCTCTCTCTTTCATCCCCTGGAAGTTAGCCAGTCTTGCGGAGAGCCATCGTGTCGGCCAGTGCTTCACTGTCGATCTGTCTGACGGTAAGCCAAAGCCCCATTTTTTACGCCTCCTGCTTCCGAGGTCTCGGAGGGAGTCCCTTGAGGCTGTAAAGCGCCCGTTCACGAGACAACAGGAGTGGAGGAGAACTTGAAACTATTCTGCTGGACCAGCCCTGGCTTGCGCAGCGGGAGGAATTTGACTAAAATCCGGCCTCAGAACTGATACTTTTGTTTTGACAATTAAATAAATGTAGGATCTCGGCAGATCCTTGATAGACCGCCCCCGTCAACAGCACATTTCGCCACGCAATGACCCTTCCCACCACTCCCGGAATCGCCTGTCCCCTACCTTCTTTGCAATCCGCCAGACAGAGTCAAGCTTGATCACTTTGGCTGAGCCACCTTCCCTGGTGACGCTCTCTGGGAAAACAAGAAAAGAAAAGAAAGAAAAATATACATACATTAGGACCCCGGTAACCGCAAGAGATCGGTTCCAAAGCCCCCCCCCCGGTGGATGCCAAAAACTGCGGATATAGCAAATCGTAGATAGTAGGAGCCCTGTGTCTGTGGGTATCTGCTGATTCACTTATCCGCGGTCTGAACCTATTAAAAATATCAAAAGAAAAACTGTAGAAATCTATATTTCTAAAGACAGAGTGACCACAATTGGCCACGAGAGAGGGACAGAGACTGTGCTATGTAGAGTGTTTGCTATTAAAAGAGCATCTGAGTTTAGCATCACTAGGAAGGGATTGGAATCATCATCATCCCACAGATATGGGGGTCCTACTGTATACTGCATAGTCTCTGGTTCCCTCTAGTGGCCAATCCTGGTAATATACGTTGGAAACATGTATTTCTGGGTTTCTCTATTTACATTCGTGCCGTGGATAACTGAAACCGTGGTTACTGATCCCAAACATACAGTAGTCGTGCTGTAGATTAAAGGCGTGGGAGAGAGAGAAAGAGATTTGTCCTTTCATCATTTTAGGGAACAATATGGAGAGAAAAAAAGGTCTGTTTCCTTCTGGGTATTTGGCTCACTTCATTCATTACGACATGGCCTCTGTTTTTATCCAGATAAATCTGGGTAAATCAGAGATGGGGGGAAGGAAATATAAAAGGGCTCCACAAAAAACCCTTTTTCCAACCCCTTTTTTTGGGGATCCAAAATGCTTCTCACTCCTGCGCTAGCCACTACACTGCGCCACCATCAAAAGACGACTCACCGGCTATTTCAAACTGGTCGGGCATCTCTGTGCTCAGCTTCTGCATGGCTATGTCAGCGATGGGACCGAGGATCACCACTGGGCGCTTGAATGTCGCTGTTGCGGGGGGGGGGGCAGGAACAGAAGGAAGGGATGATATTTTTTCTATTAATATTTTAAGACTTTGGATGAGTAAGTGAAACTGCGGATATGGAGACCCTACTGTACGACATATGGAAAAAAGACACACCAAAATAGTAAGGCTGCATACCATTGCAATTGGAGAAGAAACTAAGGGTAGTTACTGTTACAATGCAAAAGGAATTGAATTACTCTGTAATGTAATTTAGTTTTACTGGGGGGGAGAAGGAAATTTACTACAAGCAATTTGTTCCTTGGAACTCGCTTGGTGCAACCTCGGAACAGCCCTAAAACCGTAGAATGGTGATGTTGGAAGGGATTTAAGACCATCTAGTCTAACCCCCCGCTCCCTATGAGATAACCATCAAATAGACACTGAGTTTAAGCACATCTGACGGATGGTGGCCTAACTTTCTCTTGACCACTGGAGGCGCTCATCGCCTTCCCTCCCCCCAGATGCGTCAGACAGAGGGGGGAGGATGGGAGCTGTAGTCAGAGGTGCCAAGACCTGGGGAAAGGGGTCTTCAAAAGCCTCCCCCTCAGGGAGAAATCTGACACTTCATGGCCTCCCCACCTTCCTTGAGCACCACTCTTTCATAGGGTGGGTAGCGGCCTTGCTTGGTCAAGGCCGAGAGATCCTCTCGGCTCTTCCGGAGAATTTTCTTGGCACCCCGGAGACCCCTCAGCTTCCAGAACTCGGCCCGGGGTCCCGAGGCAGAGGCGGACGTGGCTTTCAGGACCGACTCCAGGCTGGCAATTTGCTCTGCCCTGAGAGAGAGAGAGAGAGGGAAAAAAGGGGGATCCACGTGGGTGAGGGAGAAGACAAACCGCTGGGGAAGACAATAGTGCTAGGAAAAGCTGGTGGCAGTAGGAAAAGAGGAAGACGAGATACGCGATGGACGGATGCCCTCAAGGAAACCATGACTTTTTGAGTTTACAAGAGGTGAGCCGGGCAGTGGAGGATGGGGTATTTTGGAGAGCGGCCTTTCATAGGACCGCCAAAAGATCGGGGTTGGCTTGACCGGCACATGAGAACTGCAGGAACCAAGTTGGGTTTCAGAGCATCTACCCCATGCCCGCTCATCCCAGTACCTGCTTTGATTTGGGATGATGCCTTTGTCCATCTCTTGAAGATCTTTTCCCATTCTTAAGGCAAGCCAGCTGCCCAGTTTGCCTCGGTACATGGTGTCCACCACGTGGAAGACCTCGCCACGCGTGAAGCTTAACCCGGACGGGGTGTCCTTCTCAAAATCAAAATGGGTGCGGATGTAGAACGAGTCGCCCACGTTGGACTTGATCATCTTCCGGTAGACTTTATAGTATAGCAGGAGAGATGGGGAGAGAGAGAGAGAGAGAAACACACACCATCAACTGAGGTTCAGCACCATCGACCACTGACATTCCACGAAGGAAGTCGTGAGTTACAAGGACCTGTAACATGTTACTTTTTGGGATAACGAAGCTGCCAAAGTACACATGGAAACATGGGTCCCTTCGTTTGTTTTCCTGTCCTCTAGCAACTTCTACTCAGTCCTCCGAAAACATCATCCAAAATCCTCTTCCATAAATTGTCCGCTATCTGATCAGCAGGGGAAGATTTTCAGTTCACTGAAAAAATCCCTGTTTCGTTCGGAAGTTTGACCGACTCGTGCAAAATCAAGTCTCCTTGTGCGCACGCTGGGTGAGCCCCGGGACGGAGGAAGGACCTCTTAAATCTGCTTCCGTCCCAGAGCTCACCCAGCTGAAGCACAACAAGACGGATGACACGTGAGTTTGGTGAACTTCCGGAGAGAATCCGGGAGTCTTTAATGACTGAAACGCAGCAATGTCGTCGTCTTTACGCCGGGATAATTAACGGTACAGGATTTGAGTCACAGTTTGGGGCCATTTTAGGCGGCTGAGCCCACCCTTTGGAAAGCTTGGTTCAAATCACAGGCTTGTCATTGGTAAGCGACGGCCAATGAGGTGCAAACGAGGGGACCACTTACTGTCCTGCTTCCTCTGAACGTGGAGAGACACTTCTTCGCCCGGCCTCAGATCCACGAGGAACTGCACAGCCTCCTCACGAGTCAGGTTCTGGAACACTTTCTCGTTCACCTGCCGGGACAGAACACGATGAAAATGTATTATAGAAGGGACCCCGTATCCGCGGGATCAGCACTCACGGATTCCCTGATCCACCATCTGAAAATATTAAAAATACCCTAGAAATATAAAGGTGAACCCACAGGAATTGGCCAATAGAGGGAGCCAGAGACCATGTAATATTTTCAGACGGTGGATAAGTGAATCAGTGGATACCGATCCCATGAATAAGGGGGTGAAGGCATGGGTATTTGTGAAGCCCAGGAGGGGCCGGATTCTGCTCAAAATACTGGCAATCAGGGAACATCACGGAGAGAGAAAAATCCAGTTCCTTTCCAGGCAACTCTCCGGTGTGCCTACCGCTGGAGACAGGACGCTGGGTTCAACAGACCACGGGTCTAATCCTGAAGCAAACCATACGACGGGCCCCCTTTCCACCCAAGGGACCCCCTCCATGTTTGTGGGGCCCAACATACCTGCAGGATCTGATCTCCTTCCTCTATGCCTTGACTTTCGGCCGGGCTTCCTTCCTGCACGCCGGATACGAATAACCCCACGTCGTTGCCACCGGCCAGCCGGAGCCCAATGTTCCTGGCCTTGATGAAATGAACCAGCTTGGAATCCGGGCTGTAGCTGAAACAGGACCACACCGTCCTTTTCCTAGAGTCTTCCTCAATTCCTACACTAAAATCTCAGTTCTTAACTCAGGGGCATCCGTGATTCTTACCGAAGGTTTGTGATTAACTAGTTAAAAGTAACTTTTCTGAGCAACTAGCTACAAGCAACTTATCTTAGCAACTAGTGACAATGAACATTTCTTAGCAACTAGTTACAACCAACTTCCCCTAGAAACTAGTTACATCTTGTGACGCACAAGTAGTTAGAAGTAACTTATTATCTATCCAGCTACTTTTGGTGCCAACAAGGAATCAAGTAGCACCCACAATGTCACTTTTAGGGTACATGAGTTAACACCTATTGAAGCATAACAAGTTAACACTTATATTTTCAAAAGCAGCATTTTAAGGCATTTTTTCAAAAAAAATTGGGGGGGGGTTGTTCTAAAATTACATTAAAGGGACGTGGTGGCGTTGTGGGCTAAACCGCAGAAGCCTCTGGGCTGCAGGGTCAGAAGACCAGCAGTCGTAAGATCGAATCCATGTGACGGAGTGAGCCCCCATTGCTTTGTCCCAGCTCCCCCCCAAGCTAGCAGTTCGAAAGCATGCAAATGCAAGTAGATAAATAGGCACCACCTCAGTGGGAAGGGAAAACGGTGTTCCCTAGTCACGCTGGCCATGTGACAACGGAAACTGTCTTCGGACAAGCACTGGTTCTACAGCTTGAAAACGGGATGAGCACCGCCCCCTAGAGTCGGAAATGACTGAACTAAAAATGTCATGGGGAGCCTTTACCTTAAAATTACATTGGATCAGTTCCAAACCCCCGTGGATGCTGAAAGCCGCAGATAATAGCAAACACTATGATAATAGTAATACTAGACATAGTATAGTCTCTAGTGGCCAGTTCTGTGAATTACAGCATAAAATACATATTTCTGACCTTTTTCTTTTTAATATTCTCAGATTGTGGATAAGTGAAGCCACTGGTGTGTGGTTGTGCCACTGCAGCTGGTCCTTATACACAAAAGGTGCCCCCCCACCGATTTTGGGGTTCATGCAGCAGTTCTTACCCATCATTTATGGTACTCGGAGCGCCATGATGGGCATCGGTATCGTTCCCAGGATCTCCATCGGCATCTGGAAAAAGAAGCAGCGAATAAGAAAGACCCTTCTAAACTCAGAGACTTCAGGTTTATTTTCCTTTCCTCCTTGAGGAACATACCAAAAACTGGGGTGACAGACAATTCCTGTACTGGCACCAGATCTCCACTGGAACCCCTTCTCGACCTGGGGGGGGGAGGAGAAAAAATAAATCAAACTTATGTATATATAGTGTTGCAGTGATGGGCCCCACTTTCAATTGTGCTCTGGATTCGAATCAAGCTGTACATTTGCTTCCCCTTCTCCGGAACTGAATTGGGAGATGCCCCTTCGTCCAGGCCTTGGATGGATTGGTCCAAGTCAAGGCAGTTTGGGGCGGAATTTCGGATTATTTTTAACTCAGGACCCGGCTCTAGTGTTATCCCACCAGGACGTATAAATCGCTTTGGATTCTGAGTAAAAAGCCATTGGAACGCATTAAACTAATTTGGCCGAATACTTACCATTGTGCGATGTTCCTGGATGGCCGGCAGCCATTTTCGCGCCCTCCCCTCGCTGAATGAGGGCGCGAAAACGCTGCGTGCGGCCATTTTGGACCCGCCTAACAGCTGATGGGCGGGTCGCAAAGCGAAGGTCGGTAAGCGAACCGCTTACCGACCTTCGCTCTGTGATTTTCCCCCTATCTAGGTGCCGTTTTGCGATCGCATTTGCGATCGCAAAAACGGCATCGTTGCGCGGATTCGTCGCTCTACAGAGCGACCGTTGCGCGAGGCACCACTGTATTTTTACCAACTCAGGACCCGGCTCTAGCGTTATCCCACCCGGACGTATAAATCGCTTTGGATTCTCGAAAGTCGAATGGGGAAAGAATATAAAGAGTAATAAAATCAAAATGCACATGGACCCAAGTGTTTGGCTTTTTAAATAAAAGCAGGGGATGAAGGATTTGGGCCACATAGGTTTGTCTGCAGCAGATAAAGGATCCAGGGAATCATGGGGTAAAATACCCCGGTATCATAAGGAGAAGCTTACGAGGAAGAATTTCTGTTGGGAGATGCGGGCATTTCTGGAGACATCGGCACCCTTCCGGTGGGCGGAGGCGGAGAGATGTCGGAACCGAGGTCAGAGATATCTGAGGAGGGAGGAAGCGCACAAAAATCAAGGCAAGATGAATTAGTTACTAATTAGTTACTGCAACTAACGAGTAAGGAGACACAGTAGTTAGTTAAAGAGGAATAAATTATTTCCAGGCAGTGTCAGAGCTGTCCACATGGATCCCTCCTACACAAGGCAACAAGACTTCTCCCCCCAGTGGCCCCATGTGGCCCCCGCCTCCTTTTACCATGCTATGGAGGGTGTTTCCTATTATCCGCCATTTTCAGCATCCGTGGAAGGCTTGGAACCAATCCCCCACAGATCCAGGGATCTTTATGGCACCAGGTTCTCCAGACCTTTCCCCTCTTCTCTCTCTCTCTCTCTCTCACACACACACACACACACACACACACACACACACTCACTTTCTCTCTCTCTCTCTCACCGTCCAGGTGCGAACTTTCACTTTCGCTGTCCCTCACTTCAGGGAGGTTGACCAAGAACTGGCTGTTGTCCCGCAAGAGGATCAAAGTCAGCTGCCCCTCCGACCGCTCAATCAGCTCCCGCGTCTCAGCCAGGGACAGGTTCTCGCTGGGCACCCCGTTGATCTGCAAGACGCAGGGAGGGAACATCCCGCCAGGGAGGTGAGCGCTCAGTCGGCGACACCACGGGCTCCCGCAGACTCGGGTTCGGCGCCTGGGAAGCTCCCGTCAAGTTTGGGCGAACCCTCCCAGACCGGATCCGACCTCCACGGACTCAGTGGCCTCTGCTGCCTTCGACGAGGACATGGGGGGGGAGGATGTCCCCCACTGACCCTAGCGATCATCGAGTCAAGCCCCTGCCAAGGAGGCACCATGGGGGGGGGGATTCAAACCCCTCACCTCGGGCCCACAACTGCGTACCTTCAGGATCAGGTCCCCTTCTTGCAAGGAAGCGTCTTTGGCTGCCAGTCCCGTCTCCGCAATGTGCTTGATGAAGATCTGGCTGCCCAGCTTCAGACCAAATTCTGCCGAAAGAGAGACCATTGGTGAGACGTGCCAGTGCGGACTCTCCCGGGTGTGTGTGTCTTTTTCCCTTTGAACCCCCCTTTTTCAGAGCAAAGAATTGATGCGTGAAAGGTTTCAGATCCCATAGAACCCTCATGACAAAACACTGCATTCTGTGTAGCTCAAAAGCCGTCGTTTAGCTTGCTGGGCAATCTAGAGATGGCACTGTAGAAATACATATTTCTGGCTTTTTTCCGTTCAATGGTTTTAAGAGTTCCAGACCACAGATAAGTGAAACCCGTGGATAAGTGAAACCAGCGCCTAAACAAAATCCGTGGATAAGGGGGTCCTACCAAAATGCCCAGAATCCTCACCCAACAGCTCAGTTTTGGAAAAGTACCAAACCCAAGAAGGTCGGCGACAGAAGGTCATCTCGTTGTTTTCCATATACCTTCGTTTTCTTTCCTCTTCACCAGAACCGACCGGATGGGTTTCATCGGTCCATCTTGTGTCGGCAGCCTCTTGAACCCAGACATCAAGGTCAGTCCGCTTCCGGCGTTCCCCCTGGGGCCGCGGCCATAGCCGTTGGTGAAGGCCTGGCGCTCTGACCCGCTGTCG